TAACATCTTCTTTGCAGCCAAATGTTTCAATAAAGATTATTTGATGAAAAAAAACTACGTAGATTGGGGAGGGGGGGGTAATAAAAAATCTACGTTAATCTACGAAGGGGGAGGGGGGACTCAAAAACGGACTGAAACCTGGCTACGTAGTTTGTGAACGATCCCTGATGAAATAATTATAGAACGATGGAAAAAACAATGTGTCTTATTTTTGCGAAGTTTGAAAAAAGTTTTGAGACAGTCATCATCGCTTAGTGTGCCACAAAAACAATCATTGCTTAATACCACTGGTAAACTTGAATGTATTTATTTAACACTAGAAAATTGTAGAGTTCATGGAAGAGGTTTGGATGACAGTATGAAAAATCGTGTACAATGGGTGGACTTGGAAAGCGCATTCGAAAATTGAATTGAATTGATATTGAATCATTCTTAAAAGATGCTTGCGATTTATTTGCAAGACATGCCAAAAGTATTTTAAAAGTGAATAATAATTGTAAAATTAATGCTGTACTATCATGCAAATTTTAGAAATATTCAAGTAATCAAGATCAATTGAAAAAGTCTTTTGACACAAAACATTACACGAAATATTGAAGTATATCCTTCAAACCCTCTCAAAAAATGGTTTGATGATAATATTAAAAGTCCATTATTAAACGAGGTGGAGGAATTTGAAAGTAACGAGTCAGGTTGGTCTTTGGATTCTATTATTAATCTTCAAATTAATATTAATAAATTGAATCCAATGCGAAGTGGAAGTTCTTATATACCTCTACCAAAATTTTTAAAAAACAAGCATGCTTGTATCAATGTAGAAAATAATGATAAGAAATGCTTTATATGGGCAATCTTAGCAGCTTTATGTAAAATTGAATATACAAATCAAAGAGTCAGTCATTACATATCACACGAGAATAAACTTCATTTGAATGGTATATCATATCCAGTCTCTTTGAATCAAATTTCAAAATTTGAAAAACAAAACAGCATATGAATCAATGTGTTTGGTTTAAAGGGTGAAAAAATCATTCCTCTTTATTATACAGATGATACAAAATTAAATCATGTCAGTCTTTTATTGACAAATGATAAAATATCAAATAATTATCATTTTATTTATATAAAAGATTTTGCAAGATTAGTATGAAGCAGTTTATCGCGCAGCAAAATTAAAAAATTTATTTGTGATCTATGTTTGCATTATTTTAACACCTCAGAGAAACTCGTTGCACATGAAAGGAACTGTAAACAAATAAATAAGTGTAGTGTACACATGCCAAGAAAAGGTCAAGATATGTTTGAATTCAAGAACTATGGATTTAAATTAAAATCACCATTCATTATCTATGGAGACTGTGAATGATTATTGAAAAATCCAAAAGTTGATGAGCAAAATGTTCATAAAAATACGATTACTATTCAACACCACGAAATGTTTAGCATAGGCTACTACTTGAAATGTATTTATGATGACAGTTTATCGAGATATAATTCTTATCGCAGGCCTAAGCCATCGAAGTGTTTCGCAGAAGAGTTAAAAAATATTTCTTATTACAAAAAAAATATTACGATGATCCAAAAACTATGAATGATCTTACGCCAGAGGAAATCACTCAATTCGAGGCAAGAAATGTATGTCATATTTGTGAAAAATTAATTAACGAATCAATGAAAGTTCATGACCATTGTCACTTGACAAAAATATATCGAGGTGCAGCCCATCAAAGTTGCAATCTGAACTATCAAGATTCTCGTATAGTATCTATAGTTTTTCACAATCTTAGTGGTTATGATGCTCATTTTATTATTCGTGATATATCCAATCACTTTTCTGAAAATATTGAAATTTTACCTTTGACGAAATAAAAGTAAATTGCATTCACAAAGACTGTTGCAGACACTGGAATCAAATTACGATTCATTGATTCATTCAAGTTTATGGCTTCGTCACTTGACAAATTGGCTTCTTATTTGGATAGTTATGAAATTGTGAATTCAGAATTTCAAGATACTGAAGAAGAAAAAATAAATTTATTGACGCGGAAAGGAGTGCTTCCATATGAATACATCGATTGCTGGGAAAAACTTGAAGAAATCAGCTTGCCTGAAAAAAAATACTTTTACGTTTCATATACTCTATAAAGCGTCAAGATATTTATGCTGATATGAAAGCTAAAATAAATAATTTTGACACTTCTGGCTATCCTGCTGACAACGTATTCGATATGCCATGGGTAAATAAGAATGTAGTTGAATGAAGGACGAGTGCAATGGAAATATACTAACAGAATTTATTGGTTTGAGGAGTAAAATGTTCTGTACTCGTGTAAATAGTATTGATGTTATGAAAAAAATTGAAGGCGGCTTCCGTTGTCGAGAAAACTATTGAATTTGATCATTATTTGGACTGTTTACAAAATGCACATATTCATAAAAGACAGCAATGTACGATCAGATCTAAATTGCACAATATTGAAACTATTCAACAAAGAAAAATTGCATTGAATCCTTATGATGACAAGAGATTATTACCTAATCTATTACCTAACAGTACTGACACTCTAATACACGGACATTACAAAATTATGAAAGTCAAAAAACATATTAATATTTTTTAAAATATAATCATGGAACAGATGCGTAATTAGTCTTAAGCAGTGTTGTTTAATTTCAGATTGAACTAGAAAAAGAAACAATCCAAGTCTGTACGTTTTCAAGAAAAAATTCAAATACATGAAATGATTATATGGGCATACGCACATTGAACTGCTCGTCATGGAGAATGGATGCAGATGGCTCGTGATAGTCGTGATAGAGAACGGTTTGAATTGAAAATCAATCGTTTGAGTGAAATTATTACACCTGTACTCGTAAAAAAATGTATATAAATGGAAAAATAAAAAAACATAGAATATATTTCATCATTTTATTTATTTAATACCATTTACATATCATCTTTATGAACATAACTATTATGTGATTCGTCAAATCCTAACCATTTCACATAATAATGATCACCATGTTTTTTTATAACTTTTTCTATCAAATAAATATTCGGATATTTTGTCTTGAGTAATTCTTCTTCGTAAAAGTCACCAGCGATAGGTTGGTCTTGATAATTTTTCAAATGATAAGTAAATGGAACTGTTTTTATAACTTTTTAAACTATGAAAATTTCTGTTGACCAATTCGGTGTATAGCCTTTCTCAAAAATCTGTTTACTTTTGCTTACTCGTACTTTGTCACCAACTTTGAATTTTGCACGTTTCGTTAGAGGTAGAGTTTTTTTCGCAGACAGTCGTTTCGATATTTCTAAAACTCTAACAGCAGTTACTTCGATAGGTTTCATTCCAATTATTCGATGTTTGGAGTTATTGTATTGTGAAACTAGATCAGGTACTACCTGATCTATTTTCTATTATTGGATCCTGATCTATTATTGGATATACTATCCAACCATTTACGATTACCATTCAGCGAGAACTTTTTCCACATCTTATTTTTCAAAGTTCTATTAAATCGTTCACAATCTGTTGTGGAAAGGCGTTGAGGTTGATCAATAAGATGCTTGCGGACGTTTAAGCGTGTTCTTTATTGGTCTGTTATACAAACTTTATCCGCCGACTCTTTTCCTCGACACTCGAAAACTACGATGATCTCGGGGAGAGGCGTGGGATCCGGTCGAGTACTGACTAAAAAAGGGGCGCTGCTGCGCTCCCTCGCAATCCAAGATGAGGCGTGCCCAGTAGGGGGGAGGGCGGCGCAGACCACGTGCGCAGCGGATGTCTTACTGCTCAAACATGCCGCCCGCCTCGTTCCTGGAACGAATCAGCGTTTAATCTGCGACTGGATCGGCCGGGGCTGGGACGTCTGAAGATGAGGTTGTCAACGGAAGTCGCGCCAGTTTCACGATCGGACGAGTTTACTCGCCGGCGGCTGTCTGTACGGCTGCTGTACGGACAAGTCCATCGGCGTCGGGATAAACGGCGGTGATACGTCCCATCGGCCACCGTGCATGAGGTCGAAGCAGAGAAGCGTCGACAATCATGACGAAATCACCGACATTGAATTTCGGCTGGGGACGTCTCCACTTCGGTCGCTGCAGCAACGTATTGAGGTACTCTCTGCTCCATCGTGTCCAGAAACGGTCTCGCATTCCCTTGACCAGGCTCCAGTGCGTGGCGTGTTCCAGGTTGATATCGGGATCGGCGGGCTGAGGAATGGAGGTGCTTGAGGTGCCGATGAGAAAGTGACTTGGCGTGAGCGCATCCAGATCGCCAAGGTCACCAGACGGCGGGGCGAGAGGCCTGCTATTGAGTATTGCTTCCACCGAACTCAAAAGCGTGGAGAACTCTTCATAGGTGAGTCGCCGAGGGCCGGTGACTCGGCGAAGGTACATCTTCGTCGATTTGACGCCAGCCTCCCATAAGCCACCGAAGTGGGGAGCCGATGGTGGGATAAACTTCCAGGCGATCCCTTCTTGGGCGAGGTGTCCTTCGATGAGCCCCCAGTCCATCTCAGCGTCCCTCAGCAGGCGTCGGAGCTCATGGTTGGCACCGCGAAAGTTGGTGCCATTATCGCTCCAGATTTCTGCGGGGCGACCGCGGCGGTTGGCGAACCGTGTGAGGGCGCCCAAGTGTGAAGCTAGCCGTACTGAGATCACCGACCAGCTCGAGGTGGATGGCCTTGGTGCTCATGCAGACGAAAAGGGCGATGTATCCCTTGGAAGTCGAGATGCCGCGTCCCTTCGACCGCAGCACTTGAAACGGGCCTGCATAATCAAGTCCGCAGCGCTCGAAGGGGCGTGAAGGTGTAGTCACGCGAGCAGCTGGGAGTGGAGCCATGATTTGGGTGGCGGTGCGAGCAGCGATGCGAGCGCAGATGATGCACTCTCTGATGTGCCTCTTCACTAGCACCTTGGCGTTGATAATCCATGCCTTGTGAAGAGTCCAGGCGTAGGTGGCGCGGAACCCGGAGTGGAGGCTGCGCTCGTGAGCTCAACGGATGATCAGCTGGGCGAGATGAGAGGAGCCATCCAAGATAGGCGGATGCCGCTCGTCGTGCGGCAGCAGGGAGTCGGCCAGTCGACCGCCGGCACGAAGGACTCCGTCGTCGTCGATGAATGGGGTTGGTGAACGGAGGGCGCGGTGATTGAGCGATTCGCGTGACGATGAGCGAAGGTCGGTGAGCTCCCGGGCGAAGGTAGCGGCTTGAGTCAGCTTGACGCAGTCGATGAAGGCCCGCCTGAGCTCGGAGGCCGTCGTCGGACTCATGGGCGTCGGCGGAGGGTCTGAAGCCGCGCAGTGTGCGCGGAGGAGCAGTCGGCGCGCACGAACAGTGCCGCGAAGGAGTCCAGTGAGCGACGAGAAGCGATCAATATGATGAGATGCGGGTGAGTGAGTCTGCGTGGCTGCGCAGAGAGTTGGTCGTTGGGCAGCAGCGTCATTTTCGGTGAGCGGCGAATGCCGTACGTGATCGAGTGAGGAGGGCCAGCAGCCTTCATCTTCCGCGAGCCAAGTCGGGCCGTTCCACCACAGCGTGGCTGACTCTAACTTGAGGGCGTCTGCGCCTCGAGACGCGATGTCAGCCGGGTTATCTGCCGTGGGAACGTGGTGCCAGGTAGCTCCAGAGCAGAGCTCATGGATCTGAGCGACGTAGTTGTCGACTAGCTCGTTACCGACGGGCTCGTCCGATTGAACCCATGACAGCACGATTCTGGAATCGCTCCACAGGTGACAGTCCGACAGAGGGACGTCGAGAGAGCGGGCCAAGATGACAAGTAAGCGGGAGGCGATGAGGGCGGCTCTAAGCTCGAGCCTCGGAATAGTCATCCGCGCAGGTGCGCGGCCGGAAAGCTGGAGGCTGCGGATGGAAGCCAGTTTGGTCTTGGCCCCGAGCATGCTGGCTGTTAGCCGCCCGCCGTCGGAGATCGTCCGCGAATATACGACGCTGGCCATCGCGCGGCGACTGGCATCTGCGAACGCGTGCAACTGGATTGATCCGCTGGGCGAGAATCCGAGCCACCGGGGAATAGCGAGACCGCTCACATGACTCAGGTTGCTTCTTATGGCGTCCCACTTATCGGTCCAGATCCGAGGAAGCTGCTCGCCCTCAGACAACTTAGCTCTCCAAAGATCCTGGATGACAAACTTGGCCAGGAGAGTGACTGGCGATAACTATCCCAAAGGGTCGAAAACTCGGGCCAGTTCGGCTAGAGCCCGTCTCTTGGTCAGGGGGGTGCCTATCTCGGTGGCAGGAGACAGGAACCTGAACTGATCCTTCACGGGGTCCCAGGCTACTCCAAGCTCGTTCACCGGCCCTTCTGTTGAGAACTGCATCCAACTAGGCCGCAACCGGTCCTCATTCGGGATGTCCTCTAAGAGCCGAGCCTCGTTGGCAACCCATTTCTTGAGGGAGAAGCCGCCCGCCCTGGGCAGTGCGATGAGCTGATGGCGACGTCGCTTCGTTGAGGGGAGGTCATGTCCACCGCTGAGAAAGTCATCGACGTAGAGCTCGCGGTCTATGGCGTTGGCGGCGTCCGGGTATCGATCACCTTCGTCGGTGCTCAGTTGCTTCAGGGTGCGAATGGCAAGGTAAGGCGCACAGAACTCGCCGTACGTCACGGTCATCAGCACATAATGTTCTGGGGGGTCGTCGGCTGAGTCGCTCCAGACAATGCGTTGAAGATGCACGTGGCGGTCATCATTGAGGATCTGTCGAAACATCATCTTGACGTCAGCGCAGAAGGCGTATCGGTACCTTCTCCAGCGACTGAGTACGTCTGCGATGCTGCTCTGGAGTTTCGGGCCGGCGTGGAGGGCATCATTCAGGCTGCGGCCGGTGGTGGTAAGACGGGAGGCGTTGAAAACTACCCTTAGTTTGCGCTCGTTCTCGCCCTTCTGCCAGATGCCATGGTGCGGAATATAATGGACTGCCGTGGTCGGATGGGTCAACTCAGTAAGTGACACTCGTCGCATGTGGCCAAGCTGGAGATACTCGCTCATGAACTGTCTGTAGTGCGTCCGTAATTCAGGGTCTCGTGACATTCGTCGATGTAGCGACGCGAGCGCAACACAGGCTTGCGACAGTCCGTCGCCGAGTAGGTCCAGCGCCTCAGCTTTTATGGGCCGGGGAACTATGTAGCGTCCGGTGTAGTCCCGTGAATGGCCTTTTGCATACGACTCCTCGCACTCGCGGTCGGCAGCCGAGACCCTGTTGGCGTGTGGGATCTCCTCCGTTTCCCAAAACCGTTGAACCAGGCCGAGCAGCTTTTCGTAGCTGGTGTCTGGTGTAAGACGAGTCGAATCAGACGTGCACGCATGGACGCTGGAGGAGCGGTGGATGATCTCTCGATCGTTGGAGCCGGTAATCGTCCATCCGAACACCGTTCGCTGCGCCAAGAGTGATCCGTATCGTCGAATCCCAGGCATCATGATTCGTCGGTAAACGTCAGCTCCCAATACGAGATCTATCGGCAAGGCCTCGTTGAAGCATGGATCGGCGAGCGGCAGTAGGTTTGACGAGCCTCGGTGCGGACTCCGATGTTTCGGCTGGCGTGACAATGCCGACGGTCTGCAGTACGAGGGCGTCGACGCTCCAATGGCGTCCAGTTGAGGGGTCGAAGAGGCGGTCGACGAGTGTCTGGAAGCGAGCGGAGTCCACGGTGACGCCGGATACGCCTGTGACTCCGACGTTGACTCGGCTGAAGTCGCAGTTCAGACGTCGAGCGACGGCATGACAAACGAGCGTGTCATCGGAGCACGGGTCGAGCAGTGCTCGGACGCTCTCCCTTCTCGAGTTGGTACCGCTGAGAGTCACTACGGCAGTAGGCAAGAACGATAGTCATGTTGACTTCGACTCTCGCGCTGTGCTCTCTTGCGTGACGGCTGTCTGTGTCTGGGCCCTCGCTCGCTTGCCTTCTGGGTCCTCTCTATCGCTCCGAGTGGGCCGCTTGCCAGCGCCGTTGTGGATCAGTGTATGGTGCGATCCGGAGCAGTTTCGGCATGATGAAGTCGACGGACAGTTACGAGCGGTGTGGTTGCTGCTCAGACAGTTATAGCAGAGGCCGCGATCAGTCACGAGGCGGCGACGTTCGTCGGGTCCCAGCCCGCGAAACGTGATGCAGTGCCCGATGTAGTGCGCTTCCTTGCACGCGGGGCATCCTCGTTGGGTGGCGGTGGCGTGAGTTTTGGTGAGACGAGGCGTTGAAGCGGGCCCGTTGAAGGTGCCGCCTGCCGTCGAGTTGCTCGAGGAGCTCGACTTCACTGACTCGATTGATCGCAGCATACGACATCGGCGTTCCAAGAAGTCTGATAGCTGCTCGAATGTGGGATCAACGTCACGGTCATCTCTTTCCCTCGCCTCGATGAACTCCTCCCAGGCTCGACGGGTGTTGCTGTCCATCGCCTCGTATCCGAGATAGACGAACCAGTCATGCCACGACTCCACTGGTCTGTTAAGAGCGAGCAGTTTGTTACGGTGACGTCTGAGCTCGTCCAGTAGATGCTGCAGTCCTTGTGCCGACTCCTGGCGGACGGAGCGGAAGCGGAGAAGTGCCTTCATGTGCTCCTGGATCAGCAATCGGCGTTGGTCGTACCGAGACTTGAGGGCGGCCCACGCGGTCGCGTAGTTGGTGCTAGTCGGAGGAAGTTCTTCAAGTGCAGCCTTCGCACGTCCGCGTACGTGGGACTGCAGAAAGAACAGTTTGTCCACATCGCTGAGATCAGGATCATTGTGGTAGACGGAGGTGAACAGGTCACGGAAGGACTCCCAGTCCTTCTGATCTCCGCTGAACGGCTCGATTTCGATGTGGGGTAGCCGTGCAAGCTGGCGACCAGAGGAGCCTTCGCGAGCTGCGGCGCCATTAGAGACGTCTCCATGTTGAGCTCGCGGCGAGATCCGATTGTAGAGATCGTTGAGAGAACCCTGAGCACGAGTATAGTAACTCTCTGCCTTCTCGTAGGCGTCGCTATTCAGGTAGTCTGTGACCGCTACATCTCCGTCGTCAGCGGTGAGCAGCTGCACGTGATTAGTCGAAAAGTTGTTCCAGTAACCTTCCAGTAGGTTGTACCGGCTGGTGACGAGTCCCTCCGTCCATTGGTTCGCCGACAGGCTTGTGGTGGTGTTCAGGTTGCGCTCCAGTACCGTGAGAAGGGCAAGCTGCGCCCGTGGGAGTGCTATCTGTCGTAAAAAAGGTGGGAGTGTTGTTGCCGGACGAAGTGGCGTCGGTCGCTGTCTCGATGCTTCTCGACGTTGTCTGGTCGTCGGTTGTTATCCGGCTCGAAGGACCAAATGTTGTGGAAAGGCGTTGAGGTTGATCAATAAGATGCTTGCGGACGTTTAAGCGTGTTCTTTATTGGTCTGTTACACAAACTTTATCCGCCGACTCTTTTCCTCGACACTCGAAAACTACGATGATCTCGGGGAGAGGCGTGGAATCCGGTCGAGTACTGACTAAAAAAGGGGCGCTGCTGCGCTCCCTCGCAATCCAAGATGAGGCGTGCCCAGTAGGGGGGAGGGCGGCGCAGACCACGTGCGCAGCGGATGTCTTACTGCTCAAACACAATCGATGCTTTCAATTTACTATATGTAGAATATATATGAATTTTATATTTAGTCATTAAACTTTCAAAATCTTTATTCTAAAATTTATGACCTCTGTCAAGACATATCTTTTTTGGCACACGTCCTTTTTCAAGTATAGTATTCATAGCCTTTGCAACATCTTTACCAGTTTTTTGTTTGACTGCCTCACACCAAGCGTACTTGGAAAGGCAGTCCATAGCGCACAAGATATACTTATAATTTTTTTTTCTCGTTGATATCGTATCATTTCAATAAGACCGATTTGCCATGTCTCGTCAATATCACGAATGTCAAATGATCTTCTTAAATAATTATGACGAGCTGGCTTATGAAGCTCATCTATAACTGTTTTATACTTGTTCTTCATTTTTTTTCAAACGCAAAAGTTTTTCTTTAATAGAATCTAATTTTTAATTCAGTGATGAAATATTCTTGTTAATAATTAACAATTTTTTCGATATCAGTGTACGAGGTGTGTTCAAAAAATAAGGTGACTTTTCAAATTTCACGGGCAATGTACTTTCGATTATCGATTTTTTTATTTTGTTATGTTGGTACACTCTTCCCGAACATCTGTACCAAGTTTCAAGTGTATAGCATTTTTTGTTTGGTTGTGAGAGGCGTAAAGGTTATAAGTGTTTTGCGTGCTCGGCGATTTCTTGCTATCGAAAAATATGGATCAAAGGATTTGCATCAAATTTTGTGTAAAAAATAAAATAAAGTGCTCCGAAACACTTGAAATGTTGACGGTGGCATACGGTAAAACTGTTCTGAGTAAAAAAAATGTTTACAAGTGGTACAAACTCTTCCAAAATGGCCGGGAAGATGCCAATGACGAGCCTCGCTCTGGACGCCCAAGCACGTCAACAACTGATGAAAACTGAACGTTGAACAGCAGTGAAGAAAATTGTTCTGGAAAATCGTCGAATCACTATCAGAGAAGTTGCTGAGGATGTTGGTATATCGCTTGGCTCCTGCCATGAAATTTTTTTCTAACCTTTTGGGCATGAGACGTGTGTCAGCGAAGTTTGTTCCGAAATTGCTAAATTTTGACCAAAAGAACCGTCGCATGAGCATCGCTCAAGAACTGTTGAATGACGTTAACGACGACCCAGATTTACTCAAAAGGGTTATAACTGGTGACGAATCATGGGTATATGGTTATGATATCGAAACCAAAGTCCAATCGTCTCAATGGAAGAGCCCAGATGAGCCAAGACCGAAAAAAGCACGCCAAGTTCGATCA